CCCAATTTATTCCTGATTTTCCCAATTTATTCCTGATTTTCCCCAATTATTCCTGATTTTCCCAATTTATTCCTGATTTTCCCCAATTATTCCTGATTTTTCCCAATTATTCCTGCTTTTTTCCCAATTTATTTCTACTTTTTTCCCAATTATTCCTGCTTTTTCCCCAAATATTCCTCCCTTTCCCCAAATATTTCTGCTTTTTCCCAAATATTCCTGATTTTTCCCAATTTATTTCTACTTTATCCCAAATATTCCTGCCTTTTCCCAACTATTCCCTGATTTTTTGATTCTCTTCACCATTTCTTTCTTGACTCTCCATTTTTCCAAGTTATTTCTGCCTTTCCCCAAATTCTTTCTGCCTTTTCCCGAATTATTCTTGATTTTTCCCGAATTACTCCTTTATTTTTCCAAGTTATTTCTCGATTTTTCCAAATTATTTCTCCTTTTCCCAAGTTATTCCTTTTTTCCCCCCAAGTTCTTGATTTTTTAACATTTACCTCCTGATTTTTAATCAACATTTTTATTTTATTTTATTTTATTTTATTTTATTTTATTTTATTTTATTTTATTTTATTTTATTTATTTTTATTTTATTTTATTTTATTTTATTTTATTTTATTTTATTTTATTTTATTTTATTTTATTCCCTTTCCTTCTTTTCCCTTTTTCTCCCTTCTCTTCCCTTTATGGAGGATTTTTCTCCCTTTTCTCCCTTTTTTCCCTTTTCCCCCACAATTTCTTGCTGCCCCGGGATCGCTCCTCGCCTCCTTCCCGATTTTTTTTTGGGATTGATCCCGGTTTTTTTTTGGGAATTCCGCTTTTTCCAGCTCCCCCTTCCCGGAGGATTTTGGGTTTTTTTTTTTCTCTTTTTCTTTGTTTTTTCGGTGTTTTTTTCTGGCGGATTTTGACCCAAATTCCAGCCGGGAGAGGAGCAAAGGATGGGAGGGGGAAAAACCTCCCCGGGCTCCTTTTATTGGGATTATTCCTCTTTTTTAGGATTATTTTCCTTTTTTTTATAATTATTTTCCTTTTTTTAGGATTATTTTCCATTTTTTTATAATTATTTTCCCTTTTTTTAGGATTATTTTCCCTTTTTTTAGGATTATTTTCCTTTTTTTAGGATTATTTTCCTTTTTTTTATAATTATTTTCCTTTTTTTTATAATTATTTTCCTTTTTTTATAATTATTTTCCTTTTTTTATAATTATTTTCCTTTTTTTAAGGATTATTTTCTATTTTTAAGGATTACTTTCATTTTTTTTAGGATTATTCCCCACTTTTTACAATTATTTTCCTTTTTTTTTAGGATTATTCCCCTTTTTTAACAATTATTTTCCTTTTTCTAAGGATTATTTTCCTTCTTAAAGATTATTTTCTATTTTTAAGAATTATTTTCATTTTTTTAAGGATTATTTTCATTTTTCTACGATTATTTTCCCTTTTTTTTAGGATTATTTTCCTTTTTTAAAGATTATTTTATATTTTTAAGGATTATTTTCCTTTTTTTTAGGATTATTCCCATTTCTTCCCATTTATTTTCCATTTTTTTTAACAACTTCTCTTATTTTACCCCTTTTTTTCCCCTTTTTCCCCATTATTTCCATTTTTTAATCAGGATTCCCTTGTTAAAATCAGCGATTTTTTTTTTACCAGAATTTCCTCTTTTCCCCCAAATCCCCAATTTTTCCTTAAAAATAAAATGTAAATAAATTTAAATAATAATTAATTTTATTTATTTTTATTTTTCTTTCCAGGGATTTCTCCTTCCCCCAACCCCGGAATTCCCAGAAATTCTCCAAAACGCGACAAAGAGGAGGAAAACGCGGCTTTTTAACCCAAAATTTCGCATTCCCCGGTGTTAAATCCACAATTTCCGATCTCCTCAAGGGTAAAGTTCTGGATAAAAATGATAAAAATTTATTTAAAATTATTTTTTAATTATTAAAGTGATTAAAAATTATTTTTAAATGCTTTTAAAATGATTTTTAAATTATTTTTAAATTATTTTTAAATTATTTAAAATTATAAAAAAAGGTTAAAAATGATAAAAAATTATTTTAAAATGATTTTTACATGATTTTTAAATGATTTAAAATGATAAAAAATGGTTTAAAAATGTTTAAAAAATCATTTTAAAATAATTTTAAATTATTTTACAATTATTTAGAATTATAAAGAATGGTTAAAAAATGGTAAAAAATGATTTAAAAATTATTTTAAATTATTTGAAAATTATTTAAAATGATAAAAAATGATTTTAAAATGATAAAAAATGATTTAAAAATGATAAAAAATTATTTAAAAATTATTTTTAAATGATTTAAAATGATAAAAATTATTTTAAAATGATTTAAAATTATTTTACAATGATTTAAAATGATAAAAATTATTTTAAAATGATTTTAAATTATTTTAAAATGATTTAAAATGATAAAAATTATTTTTAAATGATTTAAAATTATTTAAAAATTATTTAAAATGATAAAAATTATTTTTATATGATTTTAAATTATTTAAAAATGATTTAAAATGATAAAAAATTATTAAAAAATGATAAAAAATGATTTTAAATGATTAAAAATTACTTTTTTCCCCCTCCCCCATCCCCCGGAGAGTTTTTTTTTTGGGATAAAACCGAAGGAAAAAAGAGATGGGAAAAACCTCCGGCAGCAAAATAACCCAACCCCCCCTAAAAAACCCCATTAATTAATTAATAATAAATAAACCCATCACCAATAAATCACCAATAAATCATAAATAAGAAAAGAGAAGCCGAACCTTTCACCCCCATCAATCAAAAATAAATTAAAACGGAGGGGAAATAAGGAATCTTTGGAAATCCACATTTTTTTTGTTTAATCATGGAAATTCCCGAACGATCACACAAAACTAAAGGAGACAAAGCAAAAAAATCGCATTTTTTTTTTTCCCCCCCCATTTTTTCCTTTTCATTTTTCTCCCCTCCCGCTTTTAATTTTTTCCCCGTTTTTTTCCCATTTTTTTGGTTTTTATTTTTTGGGAAGGCGACACCGGGGGGGGGGGGGGGGGAGGCGATTTTTGGGGAATAAAAAACGAATTTTCAGCACGAGGTTTTCCCACTGAAGCTCAGAGGCCGCTGGGGCAACTTTCAAAAATAATATTCCGATTTTATTTTCATTTAAATACTCGACAGAAAAGTCCAGTCCGGACTCGGGGTTTTTATACATGACAGGGTTTAACACAAGGGGTTGGTTTTTTTTTTCCCAATTTCATTTATTTTATTGTTTTTTCACATTTTTTTTAAATTTTTAATCTCTTTCTCTACCTCTATGAACTCCATTCTTTGCTTTTTTTCATTTATTATTTTTTGTAAATTTTTTTTTTGTCATTTTTTTGTCATTTTTTGGTCATTTTTTTGTAATTTTTTGTCAATTTTTTGTCATTTTTTTGTCTTTTTTTGTCATTTTTTGGTCATTTTTTTGTCGTTTTTTTGTAATTTTTTGTCAATTTTTTGTCATTTTTTGTCATTTTTTTGTCTTTTTTTGTCATTTTTTTCGTCATTTTTTCGTCATTTTTTCTTCATTTTTTCCTGCAATTTTTATTCCGCAATTTTCTCCTGTAATCTATTTTTTCCCCAACTTTTTCCCTAATTTATTTTTATTCCGCAATTTTTTTTCTGTAATTTCTTTTACTCCGCAATTTTTTTTCCGTAATTTCTTTTATTCCGCAATTTTTTTTCCGTATTATTTTTTTTTTTTAATAATTTTTTTTTATCCCTTTTTTTTCCCCAACATTACAGCGCTAAAACATAAATATAAATACAGATAACCACGAACACAGAATAAAATATTCACACAGAAACCGTCACAGTTTGTGGATGCGGAGACGAGCCCGGGCAGCTGCTTTAAATCCGAGAAAACACAAAATAAAAAAATGCAAATTCTGGCCCAAAAAGCGCTTTTTTCGCCACGTTTTCTCCGGGAAAATCGGATTTTTTCTCTCACCGGGCAGAGGAAGAATCGCTGAGGTTTGGGGGACACAAGAGGGGGGTGGGGACACCCCGATTTTTCCCGGTTTTTCCCGGTTTTTCCCGTTTTTTTCCCGGTTTTTTCCCGGTTTTTCCCGGTTTTTCCCGGTTTTTCCCGGTTTTTCCCGGTTTTTCCCGGTTTTTTCCCGATTTTTCCCGATTCTCCCCATTTTTGGGGGTGGGGGGAGCGGCCGGAATTTGATCCGGGGGGGGGAGGGGAGGATGAGGATGAGAGGGTGAAGATTTTGGGGTGGGGGAGGGGATTTTCGTGCCTCTCTCCTCACTCATTAATTAATTTCTCCCCACTCATTAATTAATTTCTCCCCACTCATTAATTATTTTCTCCCCACTCATTAATTAATTTCTCCCCACTCATTAATTAATTTCTCCCCATTCCTTCATCCATTCCCCCCACCCATTAATTCCCCCTCATTAATCCATTTCTCCCCACTCATTAATTTCTCCTCATTAATTAATTCACTTTCCCTCCACCTTTTTTTTCACCTTTCGCCCTCCCCGCTGACCTTTTTTTGGGTTTTATTTTCCTCCCCAATACATTTTTCTTCCATTTTTCCCATATATATATATAATTTTTTTATAATTTTTTTTCCATATATATAATTTTTTTCTTTTTCCCCATTTTGTTTTGTTTTTTTTTTTTTGTTTTAAATAAGGGGCGAGGAGGGAGAAAAATTGAAAAAAGGGGACGGGTGAAATAAAAAAGTGGGAGAAAAAATTTTAAAAGGGACGGGAAATAAAAAATATAGAGGGAGAAAAATTTTAAAAAAGGGACGGGTAAAATAAAAATATAAAGTAGGATAAAAATTTAAATAAAGGACGGGTAAAGAAATAAAATAGAGAGGGAGAAAAATTTAAAAAGGGGACGGGAAAAAGAAATAAAGTGGGAGAAAAATTTTTAAAAAGGACGGGTAAAATAAAAAATATAGAGGGAAAAAAAATTTTAAAAAGGGACGGGAAAAAAAACAAAATACAAAGTGGGAAGGGTAAAAAAAAAATGATGGAAATGGAGGAAAAAAGGGGGAAAATAAAATCAAAAAAGCTGGAGGTGTCACTCCTTCTTCTCGTCCTCTGTCTCATCGCGCTTCTCCTCCTTGGCCAAGCTGTCGGCGGCCGCCGCTCCCCCTCCTCCTCCTCCTCCTCCGGCCAGCGTGGAGCTGAGGTTCGTCTCCTTTTTCCACTTCATGCGGCGGTTCTGGAACCAGATTTTGATTTGCCTCTCGGTCAGGCAGAGCGCGTTGGCGATCTCGATGCGGCGCCGCCGGGTCAGGTAGCGGTTAAAGTGGAATTCCTTCTCCAGCTCCAGCGTCTGGTACCGGGAATAAATCTGGCGGCCCCGCCGGCGGTCGGCCCCGTAGCCGACCCCTAAAGAAGCCGAGACAAAACAGACTAAAATCCGTCAGGGAGCGGCGGCCTCCGCCCGGCCCTTCCCCTCCTGCCCTTCCCCTCCTGCCCTTCCCCTCCTGCCCTTCCCCTCCTGCCCTTCCCCTCCTGCCCTTCCTTCCCCTCCTGCTTTTCCTTCCCCTCCTGCCCTTCCCCTGCCCGGCCCTGCGGAAATCAATAAAAAAATCCCAATTTCAGAGTTTGTGTTTTTCTATTGGAGGGGGGAGAGCGGAGTTTGGGGTGCGGGGAGGGATTGAGGGGGTGAGGAGGGGATTGAGGGGGTGAGGAGGGGGTTGAGGGGGGGGGGAGGGGATTTGGGGGGGGAGGGGGGGGTTTTGGGGGGGGGGGAGGGGGTT